CTGATTCTAGCTGATCCATTTCATAAGGACATCCTATCAGTCTCCATTAGCCATAACTGATTCTAGCTGATCCATTTCATAAGAACATTCTATCAGTCTCCATTAGCCATAACTGATTCTAGCTGATCCATTTCGTAAGGACATCCTATCAGTCTCCATTAGCCATAACTGATTCTAGCTGATCCATTTCGTAAGGACATCCTATCAGTCTCCATTAGCCATAACTGATTCTAGTGAATTTATAATTTTTTGTCTTAAGTACTCGCCATATTAAACATCTCTCGACTTTGAATCGCCCGAAACTAGAAAAATCATTTTGGGGATCTATCTCAGTATCAGATTTTTCCGAATTCTGAATAAAAGTTGAAAAACGCAAGTTTTCCCATTGGAAAGATTGCAGAGCCGTTCCAACAGAACGTTACACAATCTCAATAATTAAACATGAGTACATTACACGATAATTATTGGTAGTTTGACTCAGTAGACTGCGTATCAATGAGCGTTGCCTTCGCCCATATTTCTTTGAATTAGTATAATCCTTATAAAGTTGGAACATATAGAAATACACGTGCTTTATCATTATCTTAACGATGTCGGTTAATCCTCCATCCTCCTCTGTTGATCCGTATCTCGGCAGATCACATCCAGTACTGCAAATGCTCTTCAGAATGTTCTTTGAAACTTTTCGTTATATTTAACCAATTTTTTGTGAGGTATCCAAATGTAGAAGAATAAATACGAATTTCAGGTCATTATGCTCTGCAAATGAAAAGTCGGTCGTTGTGCTGCCGATGCCATCCGTTAAGTCGAAGTCACCTTGAGAATGGATGGTGTGTTGGAGATTATGAAAATTCTCTCCTGATCACCCAGAAGAGCCCGGTTGTCGATGCAAGAATTTAACCGTTAATGAACACACCATCGCTAGTAACAACGATGGAAGTAGCGCTTCCAATTATCGCTCTATAAGTAGTTTGCACTATCCGACCTTGTTGGCTTGTTGCTTTAAAAATTATCTTTTTCCAGATAGTTTACTTTTGATGACATGTGTTTTAATATTAATTTCAAGGTTTGAGAGCTGCTCAAAAAAGAGGGCTACTGTTGAAACGATTATGATGTTTTTTGCATTAAAAATTATAATAAAAAACGTATCTATAATGCTCGACCATTTTGCTAGCGTTCAGAGAAGCATCCTTGTAGGAGCCTGTTCCTCAAAATAACAGATCTTTGGTTAAAATGTTGTCTTGACAGGAAGTGTTCATACGTTTCAAATATTAAGTAAATGACGCTGATTCGACTCCTTGAAAATATCACGGAGTATGCTAGGTGTAAATATATGAATTGGTGGAACTAAAGGCTGAAGATATTATAGGAATAGTAACATATTAGCGATAAGCTTGCGACGATGCGGTTGCTGGAGTAGAGATTGCAGAGTGGGGAAGACCGCGTAAAAGAAATCTCTCACGTCTAGAAAGTGACGACCTGGCAGCTCTATTCCTGATATGGCAATAATACTTCATTTCTGATCTAATCTGATTCGTGTAAAAATAAATCATAGCAGACAGTGTCAGGTATTTCATGAAGCATACTGGAATCGTCATGCCAGGGCGGTATTATCAACAGGCCACCACCATGAATAATCGACTATGTGGAGATTCAAACATGGGCCTCATGATTGGTAACGCTATTCTAATGAGTCACCAATGTGCTCATTAATTCGCATATAATAAAGAAAAAGAGAGGCGTGATTACCTATATCCTAAAGGCAACTGACATCTACAAAATGTATAAACAATACAAAATTGAGTCAACTGTATATATCCTTATAAGGATTCATTTACATGCGGGTAAAATGTAATTTATATCACAATGGCGGAGTAAATTGAATGCAAGTAAGACAATATTCAGTTAGGAAAATAATATAATAAATAAATAATAAATAATATAAATATTTAAAAAAAAATGTCTGAAACTAGTAATTGCAATACGTTCTTAAAAGACCATGTGGTAAACACTCAACAAGCTGACTTGTGACATTACAAGTGACTTAGAAATGTAAAATACATTAACCACCAGTTGTTTTAAAATCGAACAAACACACACGAAACACACACACACACATATATATATATGTATAATTGTCAGTTGTTTTCAAAATTGAATATATATATATATATATATATATATATATATATATATATATATATATATGTGTGTGTGTGTGTGTGTATATATATATGTATGTATAATTGCGAGTTGATTTAAAATTGAATATATATATATATATATATATATATATATATATATATATCTTTAATATTAAACACAACTGGAGAGAACAATCTACGTGATTATATATATATATATATATATATATATATATATATATATATATATATATATGCAGAAATATGCACAACTGCGTATGTTTTAGCTGAGATGATAACGACATTTTTCTTAAACTAAAAGCATATTCGAGGTGTGAAGTTAATTTCCAGTTTTT